ATTGCAAGGTCCCTTTGGATTTGGTCCTCGTTAACCTTAGGGTCATATATGCTCAGCTTAGCCTTGTTTCCCAATAGTCCCTTGCAAACATCAATTGCAGGGGTCTCCCGAGTATCACCAGTATCCTTCTTGAAAACAAATCCTAGAATGGCCACTTTCTTGCCTGATACTGTGTTGAACATGGAGGCAACAACACAGATGTTGTCAATTTACAGAACTCAACCAGAGTTGAGGTCGATCCCACAGAGAATTTCTTTACAGATAAAGTTTCACTGTCGCGTTTACTCAATTGTCGTTATTATTTCTTAACAATTAACAAAGAAAGTAAATTTGGGTCTAATTGAAAAGTATTCTAGCAAAACTTAGTTATGCAGTACACAAAAGATCTAGTTGTAAGTTGATTCAATCAATTTGAGGAAACCAGGTTTTGTGTTCACTATGACATCGATTATATTGCTCTCCCGTAAATTGAGTGTCAGGTAAATCAATGTTTACAGAACCTTTACGAATTAAATAAATCTGACGCTTCTCAGCCTAATCAGATAATATTCACTCCAATTCTCTCGAACTTAAAGTGTTATCGATATTGGAATTCGCTTAATTTGATATGGTGTTAAAGATCCTTTCTTCTCGAAATCCAACTTTAACTCCAATTCGTAAACTTAGTTTAGCTTTTTCCCAACTAATGCTTTTCTCTCGAACAAACACCAGATACAGGCCTGTCTAAAGCGTGCACGCAATAGACTAAAATGATAATGAAAGTTGTAAACTACAAGTTGTAAACAAAGATTGCCTTTTACTCATTTTACGAAATCGCAACTAGAATGTCATCATAGATTCCACATACCCAGTCATGACGTTTAGCCACTCATGTTTTTACACAAAGAATCAATACTGGGTAATGAAAACATGTTAAGAGGTACTTACAAAAATGACTGGTAAATCAACAGCCACTTGATAATCTCAAGATCGAAATGAACAACTTCCAACCGAAAACGATAATTTGAATCCCAAAATCTCCAACTCAAAGTAAACCTCGTTCTTTCTTGTACAAAAAATCCGATAATGAATCCCCCCTTTCAAAACGACCTAAAGTAATTCAAAAATAGAATGTTTAAAATGAGTCCTAATCAATATATTGTATGTGAGCTAATTTCAAGATACAACAAAATGTCAAGCCAAAAAATTATAGTCCTGTAGTAATAAAATACCTATAATATAATGTAGGCATACTCACAAACCTATTGATAAAGAAGCTGGAACAAAAGGTCAATTATATATGCATCTTAATAAAGAAAACAGTTGAAAATCACCCTATTTCTTCTCATTACCAACAAAAAGAAAAAGTGCTATTACAAAGGCTATCAAGATTCAAGGATAAAGGATCACGAAAATCTATATGAGGTGTCCTTTTATTAGGGTGCATAAGAAGTTCGGAAGCTATCATGTGTCCAAACTGACCCATAAGAAAACCAAGAAATCAACAGATGTTACCAATTGTACAAAACTCATATATCCTTATGAAATTCAAGTGATCAATTTAGGTTGCTATCTTTATAAGATTTGAATATGTCATAAAAACATATGGTTATCCTTGTCAAATATACACGAAAACTCCAGAGAGTGCTAGAAACTTCAAAATTGAGCTTTATATCTATCGACAGTGCTGTAAAATTTGAACAAGTATCATTCCAGAAACTTTCATTTTAAATTATTCAGGTGATAATATGTAACGTCGTTTTGAGTACTAGAGCTTTTTATTTTATAAAAGACTCTTTCGATAGATTCTAAATGGGTATTTTGGACTATTCGTAACTACAATTATATAATTAATGGGATAATTTTAATAATTAAATTAGTTGATGGGTATTTATTAAATAATTAATTTTTATTAATTGGTAGTTAATGGGGCAAGTCCATAATTTATTTAATACCCTACCACCTGACTCATGTGTAAAGAAAGAAAGTTTTATGGAACAAACCTTGTTGCGGCATCGGCAAGAAAAGGCGTTCAGGTACAGAGAAGTTCTTAACTTTTTTATGTTTGTCTACATGGATATTAATTAATGATTAAGGGTGATCCATTAGCAGTTTATATAATATAGTTTTTGGGTGTGGATAGATGATAGTGTTGGTTGATTTGTTTTCCGTTTCAGGTTACTATTTGTAACTTGTGAATTATTCAAGGGTTTCTATTGGTTAGTTAATATGTAGGGGTTTAGATTATATTAAAATATTGCATAGTTAAATAAGAATTGTAAGAGTATAACATGCTAGTTGAAAGAATTTGGGAACAAGTGTTGGTGGAGAAATTGAATTATATTGAAAAGGAGGAGAAGTGATTGGTGAGTAAATTGAAAAAAATTGGAATTTGTATGTTACGTTCTGAACCTGGGCAAACTTTGGATCGCTCTCATGCCAATCATGGGGCAATGATTTCCCTATCATTGGCCAATGATTTTAGGCTAATAAGGGACTGGAATAATAGCTACAGTGAACATTAGAAATAGTTAGTCGGTTAATTATTTATGGTACACCTCTAATTTTCAGAATTAGATAATTATTTAATTATCGTATTATGATTTGAGTTTAACTTGTTGAGATAGGTAATTAAATATTAGGTGCATTATATTAATTGAATACTATTAAAGTATGTTAATTGGAGGAATTAAGATTTACCCTTAGGCTTGAACTATAGGAAAATTGATTATAGAATTGGGTGAATTTTTGGGTCTAGGCTAGACATATAGTAATAGTGGTGTCTATAAACTCATTAACTTACAAATTATGCATACTTGATAGATTGAAAACGTTCGGAGGCATTCAGGAAAGGAAAAGTATTGGAGAAGTAGCTTGGTTGACTTCGGTTCTTCAGTGGAGGTGGGTTATGGTTTATTCTATTTGATAGATAGACTCTTAATAGTGATTGATATGCATTGAGTGATATTGTGAAGTTATCTATGTACTCTATTGTGGTTGTGTGACTTGGTTATGTGGTTTGCGATTGGTCTGAAATCCTGAGACCGTGAAATTTATAATCTTGAACTTTCTCTATCGAAGTGATGCCTTAAATAAAGAAGGCTTGATGAAATATTGTTAATGAAGTGAAAAGTGGTGATAATAAATGATAAATTAATAATATTATTAGATAGGGTGTCACGTTTCGACACGGTATTATTGGATCGGGGTGTCACATTCCGACACGGTATTATCGGATCAAGGTGTCACGTTCCGACACGGTATTATTGGACCGGGTGTCACGTTCCGACATGGTATTATTGGATCGGGTGTCACGTTCCGACACGGTATTATTGGATCGGGGTGTCACGTTTCGAAACGATATTATTGGATCGGGGTGTCACGTTCCGACATGATATTATTGGATCGGGTGTCATATTCCGACATGGTATTATTGGATTGGGTATCACGTTTCGACATAGTACCTGCACAGGATGCAACCCCGCCTCCTTCACCAGCAAATGTTGCATCTCCGTCTACTCAAGAGAGTTCAAGTGAAAGACCACATAGGATGAGGCGCATCCAAGAACTCTATGATGAGATAGAAGAAATTACTAATTTTGATTTTTCGTGTTGTCTCTTTGCTGATAGTGAATCAATGAATTTTGATGAAGCTGTTACTGACAAAAGGTGGAGACAAGCCAGGGAGGAGGAGATCTAGTCAATAGAGAAGAACAACACTTGGGAGTTAACAACTCTTCTTAAGGATCTTTGAGCAATCGGAATTAAATGGATATACAAGGCGAAGAAAAATGCTTACGGAGATGTAGATAGATACAAGGCAAGACTTTTGGCTAAAGACTACAAACAAAGGCATGACATCGACTATAAGGATGTCTATGTGCCTGTTACCCGGATGGAGACGATTCGTCTATTGATCTCTTTAGCGACACAAATGAAGTGGAAGATCTATCAACTATATGTCAAATCGGCATTCTTGAATGGATATCTTGAAGAAAAAGTCTATGTTAACAACCATTGGGCTTTGTAGTAAGAAATCATGAAGATACAGTGTTGAGGTTGAAGAAAGCCTTATATGGGTTGAAGCAAGCTCCACGAGCTTGGAATAGTCGCATTGACAAATACTTTCAAGAAATGAGTTTACTCATTGTCTCCATGAATATGTTCTTTACATTAAAGTTCATACTAATGGAGATATTCTGCTTGTTTGGCTTTATGTTAATAATCTCATTCGAACGGGTAACATCCCATATTTATTTGAAGCTTCCAAGAAAGCTACGTCATGAGTTTAAGATGACGGACATAGGGCTCATGTCATATTACTTGGGCCTAGAAGTGAAGAAAATGGAGGAAGGCATCTTCATATCTCAAGAAAGCTATACAAAAGAGATTTTTGAAGAAGTTCAACATGTTTGATTGCAACCCTGTGAACACCCCAATGGAAAATTGAACAAAATTGTCAAAGTTTGATGATGGAGAAAAGGTGGACTTCACTCTGTTCAAAAGTCTTGTAGAAAGTCTAAGGTACTTGACATGTACGATACCAGATATACTCTTTGCGGTTAGAGTAGTAAGGAGCACTCACTTGAAGGTCGCTAGAAGAATTCTACGTTACCTAAAAGGTACGATCGACCTTGGACAATTTTATTCTTTTATGATGATTTTAATCTTATGGGATATTGTGATAGTGATTATGCGGGAGATGTTGATGATATAAAAAGCACATGTGGTTTTGTATTTTTCTTGCGTGATTATGTTATTTCTTGGAGTTCAAAGAAACAATCAATTGTTACTCTCTCGACTTGTGAAGCTGAATACGTGGCAACGACATCATGCTATTTGGTTTAGGCGATTGTTGAAGGAACTTAATTTGCCGCAAATTGAAGCCACAATGATTTGTGTTGATAACAAATCTACGCAAGCACTAGCAAAGAATCCAGTGTATTGTGATCGGAGCAAGCACATAGACACAAGGTATCACTTTATCCTGAAATGCATTGCCAAGAAAGAGGTAGAGTGAGTATGTGAAATCTCATGATCAAGTTGCGATATCTTTACAAAGCCTCTCAAGTTTGAAGATTTTCAGAGATTGAGATCAAGCCTTGGAGTAAATAAGACAAATCAAAATTAAGGGAGAGATTTGTGGGATCGATATATATATATATGTATACATATATATATATATATATATATATATTTGAAGTCCTCATTTGCTGCATTAGGCCAACAACATTAGTCTTCCATTACTGCAAAATTGCAATAATGTCAAAAAGCTTAAAAGTTGTTTACCTACAAGTTTGAATTGTTATTTTCCATTGATGTCAAAATGAGCAAAATTTTTCTTATAAATAGAGCACTTATGCTCATTTGTAAGGACACACCAAAATAGAGAAACAATAGAGAGTAATCCACAAGCTATTTCTTAATTTGTGAGAAAATAGTGTGGAAATAATATTATTGTGAGTTGTAAGAAATAAAAGAGTGTTAAATAGTAGTCTTTTGACACTACAAAGTTTTTCATCAATATTATTGTATTACTTATTTGGGTATCATATTTACCCCATTTTAATATTTGGTGTCGTTGTTACTGTCTGCCTATTGCTATTTAGTTTTGGACATTATCGTGAGAGTGATTATCATTTTGTCCAACATTCTTGACAAAAACTGCAATAATTTTGAAAGGACGGAGCTGATGGGCTTATTGAATTGCTGGCAAGATTCCATACGTTGTTGTTGTAATAAGAGTTTTACCCAGGCGGCTGCAGTAGTATTAAGAACTCTCTTACCTAGTGCTTATCAGTCAATCAAGAGTATTGATAGGAATTTTCTAATCTCGCAAAACAAAATGTGATATGATAAAATAGAAACAAAGATAGGAAACGGGAAAAGCGTGGGAAAGCTGTAAGTGCTAAAGTAGACACACTTAACATAAGCAAAATGTTGTCAGGTGATGGTCAATTCAGTGCTTGAAACACGGGTCTTCGTCTATCCAGAATCTGTAATTTGTTCAGTCATACACATTCTAGGATCACCTAACATAGGGCACCATATGTACTAAATATTGAAGGGAAATTATTTTCATATCCTAGATATCAATGTCCTTTGTACACAACAAAATAATAACCTCTGTGTTGTAGCTTTATATATATGGTTTGATAGTGTGGCTTATAGTAAATCAACCAGTATGCTGAAATCATGCATGCAAAGTCATAATGACAAAAAATGATATGATCTATTCGCATATAATTATATTTATTAAAATAATATAATATAATCCACAAAAATACAATACAATATATTACAAAACAATATATACTAACCATCCAAACAGTATGCAGACAAAACAGCAGAAAACACCCTTTACTATTACAAGTGAAATTTACACTCAATATAGCAAAATCTGATGAAAAATGATAATGATTAGCATGGAAAAATCATATGATAAATAAAAAGTAAAGCTCTTTTGGTTAGTGCTATAAAGGAAAATAATTCATACTATCAAAATCTACAAAAGTTATAAAGGATCAGTGAAGCTCTACATAACAAAGGATTCACACATGAGATATGTATTTAAATATATCCCCTGCTTATCCTATTTATTATGTATAACTAGAATTTTGTACTTCCATTTCAATTTATTTGTCTTATTTTCTTTTTAGTTTGTCTTAAAAAATAATGTCACTTTTTCTATTTAGCAATTCTTATGTCAAACATTCTACTAGACATATTTCAGATTACAAGATTCAAAAGACATATTGCTGCATTATACACATCTTTAGTTTATGACTACAAGATTTAAAAGTTCAGTGTCAAGTCAAACTAAGACAAACAAATTAAAACGGAGGCAACACATATAAGAAGTTCAGAAAGAGATGAGTGAAGAGAAAGTAATATACTGGTGCAGACATGTTTATCCCAAAGCAGGTGGACATTTTTGGTTTAAAAGGTTTTGTCCCATGAAAAAATGAAACATATTTGCATAACTTGAATATTTACGGCAACCAAATCTATACAACACATTTTACATAAGTTCAAAGCCTATTTTCTAGACATGTTGGTAAATTATGCTCATCTATTGATAACAATATTCTTCCCTCAGACAAGAGATCAAACTGATCTCACCGTGAATTTTTAGGTTAACGTAAATTGTGTTTCACTCTCACTTAAAGTTTAAGTTAGGAGTTGGACTTGAATGTTTCGTCCCCACAAAATCAAGTCAAACTTCATCTGCAAGTTCAACACTTTCCTCTTCTTCACTTTTTAACCCCAAAGCAGATAGAAGTAGAGAAACTAAGACTATTGAAAAAATAAAATAAAACTAATTGCAGCAAATTTCACGAACATCTGCAACACTAATAACAAACAGTGTATTCAAGCAAACGACAGGAAGTTCCAAACGGACTCCAAGTAAAGGGAGTCATCTTAATCCTTTGACAACTTACCATCTATTTCCATCTCACTAATTTTAAAAAATATAAATTCAAATTAAGAAAACTCTGTTACTTCATACACAGTTTTCTGAACAAGCTAGTTGTTGAATAATCATTCCTAACGCACGTCGCCAAGACCAAATATTAAAGAAAAACTACTTCTTGAAATCTAATTTATATCTACAAGCTCTCTAATGGAGAGTAATAAAGAATTACCTTCTATCCTATTCCATTTCTCCTCATAACCAAATATGCATAAGTTCATTGTATGTCCATTTTACTACTAATAGAAACTATGTTGCTTTCTGCCGCCACTATTCTTTACTATAAATATTCTTGCATTCCATTTTAAACATAAATTGAATTCAACATTTGGCACTTCCCATAAAGATCAATATTCCTCTTTCAGGAATCTCAAAGTTGAGGAAAAGATGATGGAAGAAAAATAAATGAAACCAAGTTTAATGTCTTCATAAGAGTGATCCGATAGCTGCCAAATAGACCCAAAACAACTGAAACTACGACTCAGCCACAAAAGCTGGAGGTTGAAGCCGTGTTGACAGCAGAATCCAAGGCACAACAATAGTCTTTGAGGTTATTGTTTTTAATTTTTTACATCTTCATGCAAGAGTAAGATAACTTTCACTTTTTACCCAAATGATCAGAATTAGCTAAAATGAAACTGAAGGTAGTACTTGCAGCTTCCGAGAGTCGGCTACCAATAAGGCACGAATAGAAATGACATTTTGCTCCTCTTCTTTTCGGGAGTTGGTTATATTATATTAGATTGTGAGTGGATGAACTTGAAGCAAGTTGTGATTTTGGTCTCTTCATTAAAGAGTTTGATAATCGATGATTTGCCTTCTTTTACTAAGTGGCTCCACTAATGATCTAAATAGCTGTGAAATAAAGATTGATGCAACAAGCCTTAGTTTCTTTAAGTACAGTGGTTATCTCTCCAATGAGCTATGTGCAACATCCCGCCTTAAAAAGAAATAAAGTTAGAAAGAACTAATTAGGAAAGAGCCAAATCTGAAATTTTACAAGTTATGTTTGAGTTGTGAGTTTTGGGTCAACTTCAAACGACTATAACTTTTAGTACAAGATGAGTTAGGTGGCCCATAAGATATCAAATGAAAGGTCTTTGTATCCTCTTTTCAACGCCACCGAGTTTGCTAAGTTTTGTGTTCGAATGAGGGATATATGCCCGTTTGAAGTCAGAATATCCAATGAAGAAAAGTTACCCGAAAATGTGAGGGGTGTTTTAGTCTTTTCCTTACCGAATCAGATTAAAACATTTTTAGTAATATTATGAGGTCAAATCTGATTTGGTTCAGTTTTACAAATCATAAACTACGTTTAAGGTTTTAGAAGAGAGTTCAAGAAGAGGAAAAGAGGAGAAAAGGAAGAACGAACAAGGTTTCACAAATCGAGGATTTGTTTCACCAAATCGAGTGTAAGTTTTCATAGTGTTGGGTTCGTTCACCCACATGCCAATCATGATTTACATATTCGAATTCATCCATAAAGATTGAAAGATTTAAGTTCTTGATGTGTATTCTTGAAGTACTGCTTTCGTTCTTGAATTATGATGGGTTTGGTGAGTTCTTGAGATAAATGTATTGAGTTTGAGAGTTGTTTTTGAGTAGATTCTCGTGTACTTGTATTGGGTAATTGAATCTAAGAAATATTTGAGAAAAGAAGTCGATTCTAGACGATTTAGGGTCAGAAAATGAGAAAAAAATTCATCGGATTGTTCTGGGGGAGGGCTGGGGCTGTGCGCCCCAGCAGTGCACCAGAAAGCAGCCTCTGAAGTTCAGGGGCTGGTGCCCCGCGCCAGTAGTGCGCCAGTGTCGCCTGCCCCCACCCTTTTCTGGCGCACTGCCCCCACCCTTTTTTCCATCGTTTGTTGCGTCTAAGTCCTTTTAAAGTGTACCTTTACTTCCTATTTATTCTAACTACTCTAAACTACATCTAAACATCGAGATATCATTCATAACATGAATCATAACCTTAAATTCATAATTCAAATTCAAGGTAGAGTTAAGAGTTAAGTCTTGAGAGTTAAGTCTTGAGAGTTCTTTCAAGTCATTTTGAGAAGTCTTTTACAATCTTTTAAAACTTGTTTTAAGACTTGAGTACGAGGATGAGGAGAGTAGAGATCGTTTTAAAAAAAATGATATATGGAAACTAAGTATCCCAAGAGTAAATGCTTTTATATTTAAGAAGAGAGAAAACACTGATTTCCAAAATAGTTCATCTGGAGTTTTGAGTACTATCTCTTTTAAGAGAAATATTTTGAGTAATAATCTCAAAGTTGAGGATGAGGAAATGTCTTTAAAAAAATATATGAGCTAAGTTATATTTTGGGAATATTATTTAGCACCGATATGGGGGAGAGTTCAAACAACTCACAACCCTTATAAACAATGTAGCCAACGTGGGTAGGAAGTGTCATACTTTTTAGATGATTCATTATTGCTTTTTAAGCATAGCTTAGTGGATCCACTTAGTTGAGGAGTTATATACCCCGACAAGGTATATGACAGTTCTGGCAGCGTGGGCGAGACGTTGTATCATCACATAACTCATAGTGATGGTTGTCAGTTAGAGAATCTCCCAAATAGAGTTTATTTTATATTTTTACATACAAAATGAGTTATATTGTATTTTCCAATACATTGAGTTATTATCTATAAACAATGTAGCCAACGTGGGTAGGAAGTGTCATACTTTTTAGATGATTCATTATTGCTTTTTAAGCATAGCTTAGTGGATCCACTTAGTTGAGGAGTTATATACCCCGACAAGGTATATGACAGTTCTGGCAGCGTGGGCGAGACGTTGTATCATCACATAACTCATAGTGATGGTTGTCAGTTAGAGAATCTCCCAAATAGAGTTTATTTTATATTTTTACATACAAAATGAGTTATATTGTATTTTCCAATACATTGAGTTATTATCTACTATTTTAAAAGTTTTTCTTCATATCGCATTATTGTTACTGCTTTTATATTGAAATGAGTTGAGATTGAGTTGAGGTTGAGTTGAGACGAGGTAAGTTGTTTCTTCAGTTTCAGTTCAAGCTTTTGTCATGTTTTAGATTTCCCCTTGCATGCTCGTACATTTCATGTGTTGACGCCATTTAGCCTGCATCTTTCATGATGCAGATATAGGTAACCAGGATCATCAACCAGCGCTTCGTTGATCCAGTTGAGTTCCAGAGTTGTTTGAGTTCTAGAGTTGTTTGGTGAGCTTCTTTGCTTCTGGAGGATCCCTTATTTATCTTCAGTTATTTCAGTTTTTTAGGATGATCGGGGGTCTTGTCCGGAAATCCCTCATAGTATTAGAGGCTTCATATATAGATAGACAGTAGTTCACGAGTCTTTTCATTTTCAGTTGTTAATGTTTTAGACTTGAGTTGCCTCTTTTGACCAGTGAATGTTTTATTTCTAAAATATTTTGAGTTTACTTTTGAGACAGTTAAGTAAAGTTTATCTGTTGAGTTTGTTTTATGTTGAGTAAGTCTTTCGCTGAGAGTTGAGCCAAGCCAAGGGTTCGCTTGAGCCCATCAATGGTTCTCGAGTGTCGACCACGTCCAGAGTGTATGCTCAGGGCGTGAAAATATGTTTGTATAATCTATCCCCCTCAGCCAATGCATCAATTCACATTCCCATTTTGTATAAGAAGCAAAACCAAATTGATTTTCGTGTTGTTAAGCTCTTTATATGGTTACACAAGATTAGTGCTGCAATAATATCTAGCAGGGCTATTGAAATAATTACTAACAAGATGGAAATTAGCTACAGAACATCACAATATAGAATGTTAAATGTCTAAATATGCAGTATTGATATCTTTTCTTCTTTTCCTTTTCTGTGATCCCACTTGTTGCTTGACAAAAACATCTCTAAGACAGGAGAAATTGTTTGTCGCTTATTCAATGTACATAATAGAATAAATTTGTATCGACACTTTAATTAATCAAATCATTCTTTACCGAGCTCAATAAAAATAGATAAAACTAATGCACGGTTCGACAGACATACATGTAGCTGAAATTCTGATACAGATAGCTGCAAATCCTTAACTTCACACTGCAAGGGAAAATAAATTCAAACGTCAGTGCAGTGAGGCAAAAAAACTCTAAGCTAAACCTACAACAGCGGAAGACGAAAATTGACAACCCCACAAAGTTAATTAACTCGGAATCAAATCTTTAATAAATTTTTCTTCCATTTAATTACATCAAAAACTCATATGAACAAACAAAAGACCAAAGTAATTATTGCATGTGGCAAAAAAGCTTTGAATAAAACCAAAGTAATTATTGTGTGTGGCAAAAAAAGCTTTGAAATGGAAAATGTGCGAATGACAAGATGAAACAACAAAAATCGAAGCTTCAATTCATTATGGTCTCCTAAGAAAAAGCAAACTTGAACATTAACAACAAATTCAAATAATTATTAAAAAAAAAATGAATACGCCGAGATCAAAGTTCATCAACAAAAGATAAAAAGCTTGTAACTTGATTTTATATTCAACCAAAAAATGGAGATTCAGAACAAAACAACAGCAAAAATAAATCGTGACAATATGAGTTAGGATTTCAACTAAAAGGAAAATCTGAAATGAGGGAAAAAGCAGAGAATAACGATTATAGCTACAAGAAGGAATAAACCGTCACCATAGTTTTGGGGAAAAATCAAAATATTAGTACAAATCAAAGAAACAATTTGAATCAGCCTTACCTGAGATGAATGGGAGAAACAAAAGGAGATTTTAGCGACCAAAGCAGAGAGTGGTGAAGGGAGAAAGTTGAAAGATGAAGCTAATGATGTGTCCATTGAAGATACCTCTGGAAGACACGTAAACTATAATGATGCACTCAAAAGACCAAAATACCTTAAAATTTAAATTAAAAGACATGAAGCATACTTGTTCAAACAAGTCTTTTCTAAAGTAGTAGTTGAACCAAAAAAATAAAATAATATATCTTTCACTATCAAACTATGCATACATGCCAACCATTTTATTTTAGTTGTGCTTGGGAAATGCTCCAACATAATTATTAATGTATTTTTTTAATAGTAACAATTCATCTAATGCGATGCTGTAATGATGCATATTTCTTGTAATTACGCTTATTTATATGTGTTTTATCTAATAAACTTTCCCATCTTTATATATATAAGAGAAAATGTTCAAAATATATTTGAAATTTGACCGAAATTGCTGTAATGATTCTAAACTTTGGGCAAACCCTATTACCCCTGCACTAGTTAATAATGTATTTTAAGGATATATATGACATATGGACATCATAAATATTACATCATTATAAATAGTAACTTGTCCAACTAGACAATTAAATATCTTTTGAAATACACTATTAAATAGTACAAGGGGTAATAGGTCTTGTCCAAAGTTTGGGATTATTACATCAATTTTGGTCAAAGATTTGATATAATTCAGACCTTTTTCCCAGTAGAATAATAAAGTCTGACATACACCTCTGTTTGGCCAGGATTGCCATTTATCTATTATGTCATTTTTTTTGGATTTTCCCTTAATTTGTTCTTCATAAAAAATCAGAAAAATAGATACATTTAATTTTCCTCTTTCCTCATTATTACTACACTATTTATATCTTTCTAAGATTCTTATTTTTCCTTCTTTATTTTCCGTATTTTTTTTCAAAATAATTGTGCTTTTAAAAATTTCAAAAAATAAGCTACACTAACATTTACAAATATAATTGTAATTAAAATATTACAAATGTATTTTTTTTTTATATATACAAAAGTAAATAGTATCAAATATAGGCAAAGTTATATTTATCTCTTGTTTCTCCTTTTTTCATTTTGTATTCTAATTTTTCAGAATTAATTTATTTAAAATTATCATCTTTATAACTCAAACCTCTATATATTTATAAATGGTACTCTTAACTATATTAGTAAAATATTCATAACTATCTAATCTTCCTGTAACACCCCGGAACCAAAAGAGGGTAAATAACACTTTTAAGGAGATGTAGCTGCCAACCCATGAGGGCCACCCACGACCCGTGGATGGGACCATGGACCGTAGGTGTGGTCCGTGGATGGCTCTCCAAAACAGATCTTGAAGGCCCAGAACCACGGCCTGACCAACGGACCGTCGGTCAGGCCACGGTTCGTGGTTGGAGTCCCGTGGTTCGATGGCCAAAAGTCACTTTCTAACAACCATCGACAGCCGTGCAGGGTGAACTGTCGGTCAGTCCACGGTCCATCGATTGGTGGCCGTAGGTCATGATATGACAGTTATTGTTAGGGGAAGTTGGGTCTTTTCCTAATTATTTTATTCTTATACTATGTCGTTTTACCCTTCACTAAGACCCCTATATAAGTGAATTCAACCCCCAAATTAGTTCATTCACTTCATTCTCTCCAAATTCACCAAAAAAGAAGAACTCTCTAATATTTCTCTCTCTAGAAAGCTTGAAGAAGAAGGATTCAACCTAGGGTTTTAAGTCAAGTATCAATTCCTCCATTGAAGATTAGCAATTGACTTCAAGGTATGATAGTTTTCATCCATGGATTCCTTCCATTCATGGAGTTCCCAAATTCCTTTATTTTCAAAGATAGAAATCCCCAATTGAGTTAATGTTTTCTTCAATTGTTATGGGTTCTCTTGATTATTGATTTAAATAATTGAATTATGATCTCTTATGCATGAATTGATGAAATACTATGATTTTATGATGATTTCCCCTTGAGACCAAGTAATCTCCATGTTTTTCAAGTAATGTTCATATGAAGTGGGATTTTGATTATGAAGGAAGAGTTTTATGAAACTAAGCATGTATTCATAGAATTACATGAATTTATGATGAAATTCATATCTAACCCATGTTTTAAAAATTTTGATGATTGAAAGTGGGTTTTGAACCTTTAAAGGTAAATTATGGAATTATGCATGTTCTTATGAAATCTATGCAAATGTTTTAAGGGTGTTTTGAGAGTAAAGTATCAATGATGATGTGAAAGGTTTTATCACATAATGAAGGGTTCTAAGGTTAAAAGGTCTTTTCACCTAATTGAGTCAAAGATTAAGAGCTATCCTAATGAACCTAGATTGGATTGATAATTGAAAGATACCTTCTCATGGATGATGACTTAGCTTGAATTGGCAAGATGACGTGCCCTTCCATGGATAATAAGAACAAGTAAGAAATGACCCGTAGGATTTATGCTTAGCACCGAGAGGATATTGAGATGGAATCTCTCCCGTTAGGAGAGGCCGGGTTTCTAGTAGCAATCTTCTTATCCCTTACCTATGTGCCCCCATAGGATGATTGTCTAGTTAGACATTAGATAGTGGATCCACTTTAGCTCAGATTTATAGTCCTTACCTTGGCAAGTAGGACAACCCTTTTCGGTGTGGGAGACACCAAGGATCATTTTATAGCTCACATGTTCTCTATGTCGGTTAAGAATAATCCCCATATTAATAATGAACTAAGGTTACTTCAAGAAGTATCTCATATGTGTTCAAATGTTTCAAAGGATGTTATATTACATTGAACATGTTTTATGACTTATGTTTTCTAACTCTTTTATATCATGTTTTAGCTTGGTCAATTGCATGTTATGAAATATCCCTTTTAGCATGATTTAAATGTTTTATGCATAGCTATCATATTTGGTACATTATTTTGTACTAACACATACTCTTGCCTACATTTCCCCAAATGTAGGGTCTGACAGCCAGGTTTCTCAAATTCATGGCTAGGGGTTGATTTCGAGGTTCTCGAGCTTTGGTGAGTCCTCATGCTTCGAGGACAGATTTTCATTATTCAGTTTTCTTTATTATTTTCAGTTTGGACATGATGTATGGGCTAGGCCCAATTTCATTCGATTGTATTAGATGGCTACTGAGACAAATGTTTTAAACTTACACTTTTCTTTTATAAAAACCTATTGGACTTGGACCATTGTTTTACTTCTATTATTGTCACGACACAGGGGTACCCCCTAGATGTAACAAGGTGTACGAGACCCCGAGAGGCCTCATACAAGTCACTTAGCTTTCATAACATAAGATAATAGAAAATGATGCGGAAATTTAAAACATTTTTAACAATATAAAAGTCTTTCATAAAACGAAGCGGAAGTCTTTAACACTTGTCTGAAACCATCTAATACTTGAATAGTCTTAGGGACATAGCCCATACAATAGTTCTAAACATTAAAGAAAGACGTAAATGAAAGGTGGTCAAATTCTCGATGCTATGAGGACTTACCAAATCTTCACTTTTTTCTTTATTATAAACCTAGCCACGGGGATGGAAGTCAATATCGCTGGACCCTACATTTGATAAGAATGCAGGCAAGAGTATGCGTTAGTACAAGAATGTACTAAATATGATGGCTAACATAAATCATCAACATAAGCATAACGTAGGCATTAGTCAACATAAGACATATACCATAAGCATAAGAGATAACAACATAAGTCATAAGCATATTCAATGCACATAAATGATCATATCATAGGAGTAACACTTCTCAAGTAACCTCAACTTATTCTTACTCAATACATAGGTCATACAACTTTATTCATACATGTCAAGGAAAGCAACTCAATTAAAAATCCAAGCTAAGCTATCATCATTCAATAAAGCTCATATCAAAACATACTTACAATACTTCCTTGAAGTAATCTTGTTTCATTATAACTATGCTACCTTGATTAGGGACTAGTCCCTTATATTCATACTATTCATGGATAAGTACTTCTTTACTAGTCAAAGACAATCATTACTCATGAATGGTTACGATTTACTAATTCAAGGCTACCAAGTAAAAGCACCTCATCATGCTAAACCAAGCTATCATGGAAAACATACTCTCATGCAAGTCCAAGCTACTCAAGGAAGGGTGTTATTGCTCAATCCAAGCTATCATTAAATGGTGTGGCTGCACCAAGTCAAGCTATCATGCAAGCATCCTCTCATGCTAGTTCAAGCTACATTGGAAGGGTACTATTTCTCAATCCAAGGCTATCCATGAGTTCTACTATCTCAAGCTACCATGCATGGTCTTGTCTTACCAAGTCAAGCTATTCATGAAGGGATATCACATCACAACTTAAAGCTATCTTAGTTCATACACGCTTTGATTCATATTAGGTGAGCAAGCCTTTCAACCTAGAATCATTCTATTTGAGAAAACCTTTCACATTAATGTTCATATGTATTCATGAGAATGTCCTTTCAAGCAACACAACATCAATATCATAATCATTGACACTTTACTCTCAAAGTGTTCTTGAAGCATTTACATAGATTCTATAAGACATGCATAATCTCATACATTCATAATATAGGTCATGTGGATAAATGCTTCCACAACAATACTATATACAAGTCAACATACTTAAGCTTTACTATCAAAGCCCTACTAGTCATAACTCATCACCTTAGCTTCTATTATATATGCCCTAACAATAATCATTCATCCTACATGCCTTAGTCTCAAGACATTCTAATGACATGCTTCATTCTGAAGCAATTCTAATCATATATCATCATATAGGCTCAATCTCAAGCACTACTAATCATGATTCATCATATAAGCTTTAATCTAATCAATTCATGTCTATATGCTTTTCTCCTAAGAAATTCATGTTTATATGCTTCAGTCTCAAGCAATCTATCAAGTATTTCATGAATTCTAGAAGATTACATCTAACTCTTCAATTTCCCCTTTCATGGCATAAAACCCAATTTCATCAATTCTAGGTTAGAAATAAGGGTTAGGCATGGGTACATGTAAATTCATACTAAAAACCTGCAATTACATCATAAACAATCATAAACAACCATAATCCACTCAATTGGATCAACATTCATCACATCCGATAACATTGGAAGAAATAATAACTATAATTGAGGGATTCTTCTTCAAAATGTGGAATTCTAATTCTAGGTTAGAAATAAGGGTTAGGCATGGGTACATGTAAATTCATACTAAAAACCTGCAATTCCATCATAAACAATCATAAACCACCATAATCCACTCAATTGGATCAACATTCATCACATCCGATAACATTGGAAGAAATAATAACTATAATTGGGGAATTCTTCTTCAAATTGTGGAATTATAGGGGACTCCATGGATGGAAGAATTCCATGGATGAATAAGCCATCACATATTGATTACAAAGCCCACAAAGCTTGGAAGAATGGAGACTTGACTTGACCTAGCTTGAACCCTCTTCTCCTTCTTCAACTTTCTAGAGAGAGAATTATTTGAGAGAGGAACCCAATTCTTTTGGTGAGTTTGAGAGAATGACTTAAATGACTTCATTTAGGGGTCTAAAGTACTTATATAAGTGGTTTATACTAGGGTAAAATGACACTACTTAAGTCTAATTAAATCCGAAAGGACCCTTGTGTCCTCAAAATAACCGCCTCAACTGCCCACCCACGAGACCCCGCTGACGAACCGTGGATGGACCTACGACCCATCCTGGTAGGGCGTGGTCTTAACACAAAATATTGGCCATCCACGAGACCTCTATCCATGGGTCGTGGACCCATCCACGAGGAGTGGGTCCTAGCCGTGGTTCACTGGTTCATGTAGTTTCCTTGGGGCCTCTTCATGGGCCCACAATTGGTCCTTGTGGGTTGCCACCTTGAAGTACTAAAATGCTATCCTCTATTTTGAATACAGGGTGTTACATTATCTCCCCCTTGGGATCATTCTTCCTCGAATGACGTTCTAGGCGCTTCTTAAGGGAAACAACTCAAGTCTAGCAACCCATCATGCATGCAACTCATCTAAATGCACACAACCAAGGAGGAATCATCAACTCCAAGCTAAACATGCTCAATACATCACATGGAAGGTAGGAACTACTTCTAACAACCCAAAATGCATGAAATTCTAACATTTCCCATGTTCAAGGAGGAACTTACCATCTCCAAGCTATAAGTGATATACCGTGAGTTTACGGTATTTCTAATACGTTTCACTTACAAGTTGTGTGTGTCTAAGGCCTTTTTATATTGGTTTTGATGTGTTTTTATCATGTTTTGCAGGAAAGACGTTCAGGTGCGGAAGTGTAGAGACAGCTGAAAGAAATGCAGAAGAAAGGCATTCACGGAGGTGATCTACGGACCGTAGGTCCATTCA